TTGTGGTGTTGTTTTTGGTGTTGGGTGGGGGGGGGGGGGGGGGGGGGGGATATTACAGTTCTATATTCTATACAGTTTTGTCTCAACATATTAAAAATAAACCACTAGAAATTAAAATATTTTTTTTACAAAGCATACAGTAAATGCACATTGTAATTAAGACTTGCTAAAGATTAAATTAAACAGCAGTGTTATATTATTATTTATGTATATATGCATTAGATGACAGAAAAGGTGATCTTATTGTAAAAAGAGAGAAAATGAGCATTAAATTTAAGTCGTGAAGTTTGAGATTTGTCTCGTCTTTTGTGAGTTTGATTGGACAGTGAATAAAGGCCTACTGTATATTTTAATCTGTTCATCATACAAAGTGACTATGTAGACAATATACCAGTCAAATTTTATAGATTAATTCCTTGATAGCTTCACATCCTTTTTTGAGATTGAACATTTTGGGTCTCATTGACTTTCACTGTACGGACAAAAACTATAAGAAAAATATTTTCTTTTGTGTTCCACAGAAGAAAGAAAGTCATACAGGATTGGAACAACATGATGACAGGTTTTTCATTTTAGATTAACTATGGCTAACTTTAACTTTTCAAAAGCTCGTTTGCTAGAAAAATGTTGCTTTGCAAGATGAATTTGATTTTCTTTACTGGTTTATAATAGTTGCTTGAATAACATACTATTTATGTTTTCCATCATCTTTTATCATATTTTCATTGCTTAGGCATGTTGGCCAAAAATGGTCATAAACTTTTGGATCAGTTCAACCCATGACATTCTCTTCCTCCCATCTCCATAGATCTAATGTGTATGACATTTGAACCATGTAAAGTCTGTTTTACCTTTGTAAAGTGATCACTGAGGAATTCTACTTGATTAATGTCGTGACTTTAGTTCCAGCACTAATTACTGTACATGATGATTAATAGTCAGGTCTTAGTGAAGCGGCTGACTGTATACAGACAAGATAAGGGCTTCACCTCCTATAAAAGCATGATCACATTGCAAAAATCCTCCCTAGACATATTTCTGATGGCCTTCGAGGACCCCTGCTGTCTCACTCCCACGCTTGGATTTGTAAAAACCTGAAAAAATAACCGGTGTTATTAGAGTTTATTATAAAAGAATGTAAGTGCTTGTGTGACAGACTGTTTCAAAAATCGTTTTTCAACCTTCTTTTTGAAAACCCACTCTGGCTTTTCTTGCTTGAGGATGGTTAACCTCACCAAAACCTCTTCAACAGTTGTCCGATTCACTTCCTACATCGGATGAACTCCAAGGATGTGTCAGCCTCTGTATAAAGACCGTCTCTGAGTGGAACAGAGGAGTTACCAACTTTGATATCTGATATATTGCACAGCCGGAGAATTTGTCCCCTGCCCTTTAGTTACCGACAGTTTGCATTTTATTTTATTCCTGCTGGTGTGTTGAACAAATGTAACGAGGAGAGAAATGATAAATGATGAGATATGCATCCTCTGCCTCGCTAAACTAAAAGTCATCAATGCATAGAACGGAAATAGTTTGCTTGTGTTCAACATGTGGAATGGACTCATATGGCACACATATTTTGTAAAAAAAGAAAAGCCCCCTAAAACAAAACTGGATCACAATTTGAACATGTTTCTGGGGCATTAAACTCTCAGATGGTCGAGCTCAGACAAGGAAACTTTATTCATTATAACTTGTTTATATACACAATGAAGAGAAAATTAAAAGGATGGAAACAAAAACTAAATTGCTTAACGGGGGACTGAGTGCTAGCTTACATGAGGTCATCAAAAACAAAGTGAACTATTTCTGGAATAGTTATGGAATACTGTGGAGTGGAATATTGTGAAGTGGCAGAAACCAACGAATTCCACAAAACATCTTACTATAGAGTGCTCCAAGGATGATGTATTTTTGTAGGTCAAAACCATAAAACGAGTTAGCATTTTAGCACCACTGGTCACCATCATTCTGAAGACAGTGGGTTTTTCATTTATAGCCTACAATTAGCTTTTTCCTTCTGCCAACTTAGGCTTCAAAATTCATGAAGGTTGTGTTCATTTGTGAAGATTATCACGATGAACAAAACATAAGAATCATAAACTTTTGTTTGTCACAGAGCTTACTTTTTGCAATTATTCAAAATAAGTAAATCCAAAAGAAGTGTTTTACTGCCACCAACTGGACTGGAGTATGTGGAATCACGTAAGGAAGGGGGAAACACTATACAATTAAGAAGCAAGGGCATACAGCATTAGAACAACACAAGGGTGAGTAAATAATTACTTAATTTTCATTTTTGGGTGAACTATCCCTTTAAGTATATACTATTCCATTAATCAAATGCTTGCTTGAGCACTTAAATCCTTTTATCTGGACTAGTTTCTTTATGATATTTGATAATTAATTTATATATATATTTTTGTCTAGAATCACATTTAAGTAAATTTTGAAGGGCCCCACTTCTCTTAGATATTGCTCGATTATTTTTCTATTTTATATGCTGTACTGTCTCATCATAATCACAAAGCATACACTTCCTTTATCTTTCTTTTATATTCTCAATACCTAGTTTAAGCCACAATTCCCTATATGAAGCCTAGTGATTATTTTATCCTATCTATTGCTAATACTTTAACATAGTGTTTTCCCACCAAAATGATGTCACTTCCTAGAAGGTGATGCCATTAGGGAGTTGACATTTGTCAAAGGAATATAACTTTGTAATGCTTTATTGTATGAGATACTTTTACATTGTTTATTACGGTACTTAATATAATGAAATGAAATATAACAATGAAGTAAATTATAAACGTAAAAATAAACAGATATTACAAAAAACGAAGAAAAAAACCCTGGAATTGCTCATTTTTATGGCAATATCTAATCAATTCAAATCAAAGTTCACTTAATTTTGATATTGTGCTAAACGAAAACCAACTACATGATTTACAGAGTTACATTTAGTTCAATGTTATTGGAATGCCTTCACCATGACATGTTTGTGTGTATGTGTGTGTGTGTGTGTGCTGCTTCTTGCATTTCCTATAAACAAATCCCAAGGTTTTATATTTCTTATATATCTTTGTTGCATTATAAGCCATTGACAGTGAAGGGCACATGAAGGAAGAGCTCAGTGGTTTAACTTTGGATACTTAGTTTCCTGTTGTTTATAGTAGCCAGGCCAGACTCAATAGAAAATCACCACTCCAACCACACATCCATCTAATTTCAGATGAGTATGGGTGGATCTCACAAAGACACAGATTGCGTGATGCTTTCATGTATGCCTTTCCTCTGCGTGATGTGTTTTCATTGCCTGACAATCAGTCCTGTGGCCTAAACAGTCTCACAAGCGCAAACCAAACAATGCGCTCTGCTCAGAAAATCCCTGCACCACAGCAGGGCACTGGAGATGTTTCCTGCTCTGCCAGAGCGACCGTAGCCACATCATCAATGCCAACTTGCTGTTTCGGTACTTTGGGGTTTGACCGAGACAAACTCAGTTCAACAAAGTCAAAGTATTGTGGTTTCTGATGGCCCTCCGTTCCTGATACGGTTCCTGGATCCGCCCAAAGTGGAAAACTGGCAGCCACACCCTGAAGTGACCCAAACAACACAGCACGGCATCATGGGAACCACCCCAGTGCACATGGCCACATTTCCGGAAAAGCTTTCCACAACTTCCGAAACACACTCACACAGATATTAATAACTTTTTCCCATTTTCCTGGTGTCAGAGGAGCGAGATATTCTCTCTCCACCACACTTCCTCCTTTCCAAGATGCCAAAATCTCCCCCCCCTCCTTTGCTGCCTCCTGCCTCTGTCTGAATAATAACAAGCTCAGCATTTCCCTTGATGCACCTGGAGCTGAACTGTTTTACTGACACGCTCTGCGGGATGGGTTTATATGAATAAAAGGAGACTTACACATGTGGCGATTACTTTGGGCAGTCCAGTCAGCCAAATCTTTGTGTTTTGATGTATTTATTAGGGTTCGTGTGAATCTATCATGTCAGCAAGATTTGAGCACTCAATCACTCAAGGGCAGATGAGTTTTTCATCTCCCCATCACCCTCTGTTTGATGTTTATCAGACATCTGTGAGTGAGCACACCCTAACCTCTTGCCAGATCCCTCTCTGGGTTTTGGCAGTTCATTCTAATAGAGAAGTGAATAAATATTGACACTTGCTGTGAATTCCACAGGTTCCCTAACTGATGAAATGTTAACACTATAGGAATAACACAAGATTCATTACCAGAGTTTTTCTTTGGCATAATTTTTCACTGCTGGATGCAATGACTCTAATGTTATATTGGCTTCAATATTATTGACAATGATTCTAAAAGAAATTTATTCTGAAATGATCAAGCTATCATTTTTCCAGAATGATTGTGTTTATTATTTTAGATCCTAATAGATTCTCATTACATCATTATACATTACATCAATCTCTTACAGGGAAGTGTGTTATTTAGAATTAAATTGAGAATGTTTTGTACATCAATTTCAAATAAATTTTGAATTAAGGTGGCAAACAGTATTCAGAATAGCAATTTTTGAATTGAAATCCAAAGAAAGTCTTCCAAAATATTTTATAACTAGAAAAGGAAAGCTAATCAAGACCTTGTTTGAATGTTTTGAAAAAAATAAACTTTGAACGTTGATTGTTTGTATGATAGATTTCAGCATATTTAAAAGATTAACTTTTGTGGATCAGGGTGGAAGAACACTTCCCAGTGTTTCCCATTTCCCAGAATGCAGCTGTGTTTGAATTGCAATCTGATTTGTCCCAGAACAAAAGAGAAGCAACCATAAGCTCATCGGGAACACAATACGCTTACAAAAAAATATGGAAGAGAGTGTACTATCAAAGCCCCGTTCAGATATTAAAATGAAACAATATGTAATGTTCCTACTTGTACCGATTTCTTGGCAGCACGAAATGCAAAAAGTGTCAAATATTTTTAACAAGTCTCAAACTGACAAGGGACCAGTATGCGATCAGCAGTGTGTCTCTGCCAAACGGCAAATTAAAGAGAAGAGGAAGAGAGAAAATAAACTCAACGCTGGACAACAATAGCTGAATATTTTTATATGGTGTAGAGGAAAGCACTGGACTTTGCTTATTAACACATGAAATGCAAGTTCAAAGAATGAATTGTTTGTTGATTCTTTTCTTAAATAGCATTGGTGAAAATCTGTTGGTAATTTTTTTTTGTCTGGCTAGATGTTCCCTTCTTTCCTTGCACTGAAACTCATGATCTCAAATGAGTTTCACAGTAAAATCTGTCAAATAGGAGTCAAGCCTTCACAGTTTACTGACTTTATGCAGCCATTTTTTGGTGTGTGCAGTATCCCAAACTATTTTCAGCTGATATTTTTAGAATGTCAGCGTGAGTGCATAACCCAGGAGCATATGTGCAAGGCCTGCTGCCGTATTTAGAGTGAAAACACCATGCAGTGTTTTACCAGATCATCGCACACTATCCCTACTTCAAATTAGACCCTGTGCTGTTCCCCGGCTTTTTAAACTCTCTTTCTTCAGTGCAGTTAAATGAAAACAGACCGATGTGGCAAATCTCTATACAAACACACAGTACACATACTGTACAAAGTCATGCATGCACACAAATTAAGATTCATGACTGCATACAGAAGCAAAACCCATCATGCCTCAGTAATGAATAAAATCTAATATGGTTTCTTTTGTGGGATGTGGGTGCAGTTTCTCTTATATTAAAGATTTGGAGTGATGCCATACCATGAGAGTTGCTGTGAAATGAAATTCTGTACATTGTCCAAAAGGCAATGGTGCACAGCCACCCACTCTGAAGTGTTAATCAATTTTAATGCTTGGCTGTAGAAACTGATATGTATTTTATGTCAATTAGCAGTTACCTTAGGGAAATATGAATCATTACTGCAGTATGATTGAACATTTGTGCAGTTGTTTGATCTCTGTACAGGAACAAGGATCCTCTTACACAAAACTTAAGAATCATTCAGACTGGACATATTGTTTTGAGATTACATTTAGGTTCATTTAGCTTTTGAAAACAAATTTAAAACAAACATGACAATCTTGCAAGAAAAAAAGGCAAGTTCACCAAAAAATTTGGATCTGAATCACTGACTAAGTGAATCAACTTGAAAACAGAATCAGATTAATGAATCATTAAGAACTCAATCAACCAATTCACTGAAAAGATCCGACTCACTCAAAAGAATGTTTTGTTTATAAATCAGACATTGCTTCCTTTCTCAAACTCAAATTTTTCAGTGAATTGACTTGGAAATCACTAAGTTGCACAGACAACTTTTATGGTAGTCATGCTCCAAAAGGACAAACAGCATCATAAAAATATTTATGGGGCTTTTTAAAAAAAAATCATTTTGGAGCATGACTGCCCCAGTTCCCTCATTCGTTTTCATTATATTGCACATTGTGGCCTTTTGTGTTTCACATGTTTGGATAAAGGTTTGGAACGACATGAGGGTGAGTAAATGATGACAGACTGTTCATTTTTGGGTGAAATGTCACGTTTTGTTCTAGCCAATTTGTATGCACCGGAGTCTCTTATACTAACCAAGGCTGCATTTATATAATCACAAATTCAGTAAAAACTGTATTATTATTACAATTTAAAATGACCGTTTCCTGTTTTAATATATTTTTCACATTTTTTATATTCAGCAAAGTTGAATTTATGATGAGCACGAGAGATTTCTTTAAAAAACATAAAAAAACGTAATTATTCTAAACTTTTGACCAGTAGTGTATATTGTTTATATATTTTTATAATGGACAAATTATACACACACAAAACCTTTAGCTTAACAAGAAGCAAAGATTAAATTCTCATCGAAAACAGAAGTTGTTATGGTGAAATCATTTACATCAGGCATTGCAAAGGGAAAACCATAACCTTTTTCTTAATTGTATTAAGAGTTAATTTAATTTTCAGGAACGCTATGTACAATTCTAGCTCAGTTAAAAAGCCGTGCATAGATGTGAAAGCAAGAAAGTGTGATAGTACTGTAATTATGCTGCAAAAAACATCATAAAATGACGGCTGGGATAAAGTAGGTGCTAATGACAATGGAAAGGTCACCCAGTCCTATTAATGTGCTTTTGTGGGGCTGAGCGAGGCTACTTTTACTATGACATTATGGTCTTTGAATGTGTGCGATCTCATTTGCTGGTGTGTTAAAGGAACACCTTCAGTTCT